AAATGTTACAACATAAGATTATTCTAAATGAACATTTATATATGCAATAACAATGTTTTGAGCTTAGTTATTAGCTGCTCACTGTTGAGTTGTGAAGTTGTAAAGTCATTTTTTTTTTGTTTGCAGTAATGGATTACAATACAAATGTGGAATACTTTTAGAGAGGAAATTACCAAGCTGACAAAATTTTGACTGTGAGTAAACTATTAGATATATACAATAATGTAACATTAAACTTTATACAATAATTAAAATGCAGGAACGATATATAACCAGCAAAATTAATCCTACTAAATTGTCGTGTAAGGGGACTGTTTATTTTATGTATTGTTGGCAACATTTTTCGTATTAGCTAATATTATTTTATATAAATCCACACTATAAATTATTATTTTGCTGTATCGCGTGTCGTTATTTTGGACTTCGTTTGCACTTTTTATATTGTTGTTATGAGTTATCTCTCGAAAGTTATTAAAGGTAGAAACATGGTTTAGCGAAAAAATGTTCAATCAACTTCAAGTATCAAGTTCATCATATGTTCATTCATCTATAGGAATATCAGTAGTTGTGAAAAATGTATTTGAAACCCATCAATAATTTAAAAGATACGAATGTAATACACTAATCTATTAATTGGATACAATCAAAATAATTACAATTGTAACATAGAGTTTCTCTAAGAAAAATAGTGACAACTAACTTTAATCATTTTTGCATGTTGAATGTGCAGTTTCTAAACTCTTAAGTTTTAAAGCTGCTAGTAGAACAGAAAGCTAATGTGTTCCCAACTATTTAACAATATTAGATATTACAACTTTTTCAATGATGTTTGTAGGGCTTTGTATCAAACTTTTTACAAGTTTATCAAATTTATAGCAGTATTGTGCTTTGCAACGCGTTTTCTTCAAGTAGCTTTCAAGTGTCAAAAATATTCCGAGTGAAGTAAGATCCCAACTTTTGTTATTTTAGATCTATTGATATAATAAATAATGTCCGGTACAGCAACTCGACGAATTCCTCACGGATTGCTACTCTCGATTTCGGTTGGAGTGGCAACTCGAACGAAAGATGTATTGACAGAAAAGTTCATAAATTTGCATTAAGAAGTAGAAAATTTAGTAAAATTGAAAAGATAGTTAAAAATTAGAAGATTTCACAAAATTTAAATTCGGAATGCAGAAAGGACGAAGAAATTATATTTGAGGAATGTTTTACTGATCCACTTGATGACTTTACTTGATGACGTAAGCCCCGATAGATGCAAGCAATGAAAAACTTCCTAATTCTCATCAAATTTGTAAGATCTTTAAGCCTGTACTCTCAAAAATCTCTATATCATAAGTAAATCGCGATTATATGATATTTTATATTTTTTTGTATTTTATATAAACCCTCATAAGCAACTAAAATTTTATATTTGCAGTTGTTTTTTTTTAGTTCGTGGAACATTTGCAAATAAATCACAGATATTACTAAAAATAAATAAAACATATTTATTTAAAACATTTATTGATTAATAAAGTAGGTACACATTATGAAATTATAAATGGAATAAGAAATCGGACAATAGCCGCATCGAATTTTCCAGCACAGACGTGTTTTTTTCATTAAAATTTATATATAATTTTTTTCTCGATATACAGGGTGACTTTTTTTCGATGACTAGTACAGGGATCTTGGAAACTATAGCAGTTACGAAAAAGGTTGGTTACGAAAAAGGTTGACATGGACAAAGAACTGTACTTTTGAATGCTCTACTCGAAACCGGTTTAATTTTTCGAAAAAAAAAATGAAAAACACTTATTTACGGTAAATTTTTAAAGTACTCCTAGTTCCGTTGATATTAATTTGACAAAAAAACATTAAATAGAAAACCTGTAGGAAATTAAATTCCAAACAAAATGACAAAAAACAATTCTCCAAAATAAATGTCATTTTTTACATATGACACAAATTTGAGTTTTTTTAAATGGCAACCATACTTGATTATTGCTGTACCGAATAAATTATTTTAATACGATTTCTGTGATATATCACATCGTTTGGATTTTTTTGTTTAAATTGAGTTACTCCTGGAAAATGGGATAAGACATACAGCATACATAGTAGATGTAGTAGTACATAGGAAAAATGTATATATTTCTTGTGTAAACTCCTCCTAAACGACTGGACCGATTTTGGTTCAGTGAAAAATGTTTATTTAATTTATATTTTATTTGTAAGATGTTAGTTTTGGAATGTTTCACATTGGATTCGCCAGACTGCGCTACCACAACTTAACCTACACCCTCACCCTAACCTACAAATTTATTTATAAGTCTGTCGTGACCAGTGATGCCAACCCTAGGGATTTGTCCGTAGATCTACGGATTTGGAGCTGAATGCTCTGATATACGGATCGCTAGTAGATTTATAAATAAAAGACCCATGTGTGCCCATAAGTTTTGTCGGATTTCATTAATACAGCGCTCAAATTCTTGTTTTGATGCAATAATCGTAGTGGATTTGTTTACAACATAAACTTCTGGCATAAAAAAAAGCGGAATAAAAAGTGCCAGAGCGCACGATCTGGGCGACCAATGATGATCTCCAAAACGAAAATTTGAAACAAGACAGGGAAATGGCTCGCAAAGTAGTTAATAGTAGAAGGTGTTGTAAACACATGCGTTAGATCCAATTTTCAGTATTTTGACCCAAAAAGGGTTAACATTTCACGGCATTGAATATCATTCAAAGTTAAGGCTTGGATTTTCGAGAGAAAATAATGCGATGTTTCATTCCGCCTGCAACCCACATCAAACAGTCATGGTGCGTCCTATCACTAAGGATGATTTTTCTAAAATCACCATATAATTGCCATTGTTCCAAAATCCAATCAACAATAGCGCTTCGTTGCTCATGGTCTTCGGGCTTTAGCCCTTTTCAACCATTTTCAACCCCCCCAATTCAACCTTGTTGAATCCATAGAGCGCAAATCCTTTGTTACAATTCGATGCAAAGTGATTGTGGAGGTACCAAAATCCTGAGCTCTTTGCCGAATTAAGAAAAACTAAATGTCCTAGCATAATTAGGGAAAGGACCGCAGCAAACGTTCTTTTAAACCTTCAATAAAATTAATATTTTCAATACTCACAGTAAGCCCCAGCAGACTGAGGTTTATGCACGTCCCACATACTTCTACCATGTACTTCGGTTTTTAGCAACTATGGGTTGTAGCTTTGTTAAATTAAATCTTAGTGTTCTTATTTCAAGAATATGTGCTTCAACTTTGTCCCATTGGTAATATAGCCTCGAATATTAGGAAAACGTTGTACATAAGAAACAGGTTTTCCCACATAGGTATAAAGACTCTTTACTTTGAAGTCGAAGTCAACCTTTTTCCGGATTATCATTAAGGGGTAGGTAATTAGGGAAGGTTTCTACTTGAACATTCCACGCAGCAACGTAATTTACTCGTAGCTATAAGACCACGGTCAACAGTCTCTAGTAGATAAGCCCATGGCAACAACTGACCTTACGGTTGTCCAAAACTTGCTTATAATCTATCGATTAATAAATGCATGTTTTGCTTCTAAGCACTGTAGGGGACAAAATGCAACTAAATCAGATAGTATTGAAACATATTCGTTTGCTCGGAGGGATGGTATGACGCATATGCATTCAAAGATAATTTCATTTAGTGCCCAAACTAACAATAACAACCCTGACTCAATATTTAGTCAATCCTCAAATAGCATTTACATACGATAAAATTATATAAGCCTTACAAAATCAAGTCAATTAACGCATTATTCGTCAGGGGAATTTGTAACCACTAATAGTATACGGGAATGTGGCGTCGAAAGCATGTTCGACAGGTTGTAAGAAATTTGATAAAGTAATTTTTGGTATTTCTTACTTTCTTGCATTCGCATCGTGACCTTGAGAAGCATATAGAAAGTCCCTTTGCAATATTGAGCCAGTTTAATTTTTTGACGTGAGATGGTAAATGCTCAGGTAACTTTAAGTAAGCAAAGATACCGCTTTGCTTATAGAGGCGGAATAGAACAAGATATTCACTATTACATCTCAAATAATTTAAATTTACCGCTTTATAAAACTTTTGGGTTTGTTAGAGATTGAGACAGTATGATTCTGTATGATTAAATTATGTTATTATTATAAATGCTGGAGCAAATTTGCATTCTAGTAACATTTTCGATCACCTTTAACAGGTACTTTTAGTTAATAGTAAACTCAACAACTGCAATGAATGCATCATTAATAATGTGAATGTTATTGTTGAAAGGCACTTTGCCCAATTGTATGTTAGACCCGTTGCAACAAAAATTTTCTTTTAATGAAAGGCAAATTCTGAAACAGTAATTAATTTTCACTTAATCGAGTGCTTAAATGTAAATAAACAGAGATTGCTTATCTGAATATACTCAGTTGTGACTTCACATCCTATACCTGGTTGGTTATATTTGGTAATATTTGACATTTCAGACCAATATACCGGGTGGTTTTTCTGAACTTGAAACTTGAAGGTATTTTGGAAGTTAGTGATAAATAAAAATATTTCAAATATGAAGTTAATATCTGAGAAGGGGAAGTTTATTTCCGTTAGAAAAAAACCGACTACTTTTTTGTGTCAAAATAAAATAGCTCTTCGAAATGTTGGCAGACTTATACAAACTATTGTAAAATTATTATGTCACAATGTATCCGCCCAAACGTTGGTATAACCTCAAACATCCCAGAAATCGAGCTTTATACACATATCAATGGATACATGGGAGAATTATTTGAGAGCGAACACTAGCGTTGCAGATCATGATTTTTAAGGTCTTATCTGATTTTTTCGTTCCCCTAAACCAACTATCATAACCTCAAAAAGGTACCCTGCACTCCTTTGCATTTATAACACTAGAATTTTTGACATATAAAATGTTAATGGGGTAGTAAATATCTCATGCGCATATCATTATTTTCAACAAGTAATCTGGAACGTGCAAAATCCCATGGCATGCATGTATAACGTAGAAAATTCATGTTTGATTCAATAAGTTGGCTCTCATATTGTATAAAACTGTCATAATCTCGAATACAACTTCAGTTGCTCGAGAAAAAAAAAAGGAAAAAATGAGAAAATTTAATTACACGTTAGAAAGTGTTTAATCTCAAATAATCTCCCATATATCCATAGATATGTGGATAAAACTCGATTTTTGGGATCTTTGAGTTTATTCCCGCCTGTGGGTGGATACATTATGGCATTGTCAATAATTTTCCAATAATCTGCATCAGTCTGCCAACATTAAAAACATGAAACCCGTAAGTAATTTCTAAGAGCTATTTTATATTGACACAAATGTTATTATTTGGACCCATTGTAAGTCAACGTCAAAATCGAAGAAAATGTTTTTGATAAGTCTCACTTTTTGACGTACATCTCGAACTTGCATTAAAATGTTCTGGTTACTATTTGAAATTATCAAGTTCGCCCATGTCTACTTTTTCACGTTTTTTTTCGAACTGTAATAAACTTCCCCCTTTCAGATATTAATTTTTGACACATTTTTTCGTAGAATCACTAATTTCCGATATATTTAAGCGTTTCAAGTTAAAAAAAAAACACCCAGTATATTATTGGAATACCCTAAATTATCTTAATTACTTCTAACACAGTTGAAAGCTTCAGTTCTGCATTAGCTTCTGTGCAAGCATGAATCCCTGTATGTTTTCCGTGAACGGTAGTCCCAGTGATTCGTTCTCTTCGGGTATGAAGGAATACGAGCAAGCGAAATCTCAAGTGAAGTATAATACTGAAGAGCAATACGATGTCCCAGTGCAACAGTATCAAATGAGGAGTAATTCTTTTCCGTTTACTCAAAATCGGCAGCCCGAAATGATGCTCCAATCCAATTTTCGAGTGGTAAATAGGGCTTTGGTTGTACAAATTAACTGGTTTATTTTGCAATTCAAAGTAATCAGACATAACTGGTGTTAAATTTAATTGAACAAGTTTTGATAATTATTATATGAAAATTGAAATTACAAATGAACTAAATTTATTGCTTTTTAACTTCTCTAGACAGACGATCCAATGATGCTTCCGCTACCACAAGTCTATCAGTTCGACAACCACATGTTTGGATATCAACACAGTAAGTAAAATTTTTACACTATCTATGGCTTTTAGTATAAATAAGGGTTCTTCTGCGTTTAGGAGTAGATTGACCAGCTTGTTATACTGAAAATATTACACGAATGAAGTTAGGCTATATTATATTCTTCACAGCATAGACATATACTTTGTTATGACAAAAATTTTTTTTGGAGTTAGAGGCTTGATACGTTCTCACCAGAGTCGACAAAAGTTAATCAAAGTGAGGTAAAAATTACACACATTGTGATTTATCCAACTCAACTGAATATTTATTTTGATTACCTGTTCTTTCGATATTTACGTTATTAAATTAATGCCATTATATTTCGAGTGCTCGAATTGAAAAAAATATAATAGCGAACCAAACCAATGGTTGATAAGTATTGCAGTCAGAAGAAATTAATTATAAATTCTGCTAGACTAAACAGTATTTATGTTGTTTGTTGTATTTATGTTTATGCTGTTAATACGTATATTATATATTATATTTTTAAAAGATTGGGAGCATTGTTATATGTCTTGTTTCAGGACCAAACGATCAGCCCTACTATGCAGATCCTGCAGCAGTACTCACGCAAAACAGCCATAGCAGCAAGCCAAAATCGAAACCTGTCAAAAGAGTTAGAACACAATATACTTCACAACAGCTAATTCAATTAGATAGTCAATTTGCTAAAAACAATTACCTGTCGAGGGCCAGTCGAATTAATCTGTCCCAACAGCTGAAGCTGACTGAGAAGCAAATAAAGGTATGGTTCCAAAACAGGAGGATGAAGAACAAGAAGGATACTGTTTCTTCAACGGATCGTCCTATTAGCAGCAGTCGCAGTTCATACAGGAGAAACTTTTCACAGCCAAATGATGTTGGATTTCAAGAACCCAGGCAAATTCAAAGATACGAACCTCCTCTACCATTTTCTTTTAGTACTAGTGCATATCCTTCCACTTCTGCATTTCATCAACCCATTCCAAATCAGCTCAGCGCTAACTTTCCACCCTCCCATGAATTATTAAGCCTGTCAGATATGTATTTACGTGAATCAGATGTTATCCCGAATCAAGCTATGTCCGGCAAAGCTGAAGGAATTGAAGAACTTAACATTCCACAATTTAACCTCGACGAAAGCTATATTATTTCAAGCGTTAATGAGACCACTTCTCCTGGGGACGTTAGCTGCAACTTTTCGGAAAATTGTCAAGTTATCGACGATCCAGAAATATGTTCTGATTCGTATTCGAGTTCGAACGGACTCACAGAATTGTAACGATTTTAAAAGAATTTATGAAATGGTTAATATAAGACATATATTATAGATTGTTCTAGTGTTTCAGTGTTATGAATAATTAATTTAATAAGAAAGCACTTTATATTGTCTATAGTTATATAACTTATAGTTACTATTTCTGTGTTGTACTCCATTGTAATACACGATATTGTTTTGTTATTACTTCGATAAATTACATAGTTTTATAAACAAAACCGAGTTTAGTTGTTATTTATTTACCATTTAATTTGATGCATAGCAAAGTGAGCCGGGCCCATACCTATAGCATTAGATATGCAAAAACAAACATTTTAATTTTATTGATTTAAGGAACAAGGATAGTCGACTGCAGACGACTTTTGCATCCTAATCTATCCATTCCTAAACCCATGAACGACTCAATTATGGGTTCTTGTCTCAATTCAATTAAGTGTAGTTGCTAATATGATGTAACCTTTAAGCAATCCCCGCTAAAGTTTTACTTCTGATTCAAATTATACCAGCTTAACGATATCAAGCAAAGTAATCGGAATTCCAAGCAAATCAGAGTAAGTTGGAATATAGTGTCAATAAAATGTTCGATCGGTTGCACCAAACCTAATAAAGCTGTATTTGGTACCTACTTCTCATTTTCTTGCCTTGAAAAGCATCTAGGAAGCAAACTAAAGAAACCTAATTTTTTAAAGTAGGTCGGAAATGACTGATGGAGAGTTGTGAATCGAGATTTTTAATTAAATCAGTAATCAAATCAATCCTTTAACGGAATGAATAAAATTATTTATGAAAATATTACAAAAACAAATGTACTACTTGAATTTTCATGGGATTAAACTTTGCTGAATATCTTAACAGAGTTGTGATTTTCATTTGACCAAATAGAATGTTGACTTTAAATAATTAGAAGAGTAAACTTAACTATTAATATTTAAAATACAGTAGAGAAAATTGCAGAAAGCATGCTTCTGGCGCAAGCCAGCTCAACAAAGGTGTGGTGAGCAAACCCGGGTATACAGGGAGGGACTTTACAGGTATATAGTTAAATGGTAACAGTTAAAGCGATTTCTTGTTCTTTTGAAATAGTATATTTGAGAAAATTCCACAGTTATAATTGCGGAACTCTATTAGCGTTCTACGGGATATGATATTTGCAAAAGACATTTTCTGTTTAGTGTGTTTCCAGATCTTCGTCAATTAATTCTGAATTCAGTCGCGTTAACAATATGCCACGCTGATTTTGCCTCACCATTGTAATATTAGTCAAAAATGATATCTTCCCAAAAATTCCCCAATTTTGCTGAAATCAAATATAAAGACTATTTATCCAATTTATACAATTAGTAATCCAGAAAATCAGTTTCAGTTATTTAAATTATTTTTAATTCAATGTTATTTAATAATTTAACTTAAGTGTACCCGTTTGCTTTTGCAACTTTCCACACCAGCAAAAAACACTACATAAATAAAATAAAAAACTATCAGTGATTTTGATGCAATGTTTGGACAAGCGAAACTATTACATCAATATTTAACAAAAACCGCATATTTCTAATAGATCAAGGAAGCGGATATCCCGAAGATCGTCTATAAACCTTGCCAACTTACGGGTTAAAATTTAAAACAGAAGTTACGTATCTGGATACCCCCACCTCTTCAATTTCTTTACCTGATTGGTCAGTCTCGGTAATTATTTACATGTCAGACGAATCCATTACCAACTAATTCTTTTCGACTAGCAGTACTTAAAAATTAGTTAGCAGCTCCACTTCAAGTTTGGCTTTAGTGCAAGCATGAGTAAGTCTTCGCATTCCGATAACGGCAGCCCAATCCATTCATTTCCGATGATACCAAAGGAATATGAACAACATAATACTCAAGAAGAATATACTGCTCAAAGGCAATATTTTGCTCAAGAGCAATATATTGCTGCACAGCAGTCGTATCAGCTGAGAAATTCGAATTACCTCTATACTTTTCCAAATCAGCATCATCAAGTGGCGAACCAGAACAATTTTCAAATGGTAAGTAGATTTTTTTTTACTTGATTAAAACATAAAATATGTGAACGTTATGTATCCATATCATTCGACGCCTTTTGCATCATGTTTTGATTGTTTTTGAGTGATTGGCTTGATTGGTCAAGAAATGCATGTCTCGATATAGAAATCTATACCAAGATAGAGTCACCTAAGGTTTAGATTCGGGAATTTCTGGGTCTCTATCTGAAGTTTGAGCAAATGGTGTTATCCTGATAGGAATATTTGTTTTTTAAGTTATGTTAGTTTGAGTAGAAACAGCAAAGTCGAAACAAAGTTCTTGAAAGAAAAGTTCTTAAAACAAGCGGCTTAGATTTTAATTTGCTGCCGACAATTTGGGATTGATTCGTCTGTTGTTTCCAAAAATCAGTTTGTGCCGGATATTGGCATCTCTATCGTAAAAAAATATAGTTCACGTTTTTGACTAGCCTTCATTATTGTATTCTGATTAAATTCACATATTTATCTACATGTTTTATGTGTTTGTCACGTGTTCATTCTAATATACAACTATGCCAATCTGCCGCCACTTGGTTTATTTCGTACTTCTTACTCACTTGCTGCGTTTTTCAATCACATGAATGAAAAATGACACAAAATTATTACCTTTCTACTGCAAGGATTTTAACTAAATTTTTATTTATATATTTTTAGCCCTAGAAATTCATAGATTTTAAAGTAAGGCTAATTAAATATATCCATTAATTCCCTTTTTTATCCCCAACGAATGAAACCAGAATATTATAATATTACAATAGACAAACGTCCTAATACTTTTTGATAATTTTTCTAGCGACACAATCCTGTGATGCCCCAACAACCCCGAAACTATCCATTCGAAAATCAGATGATGGCATATGCACCAAGTAAGTACATTTATTTAATATCTCATGTCTTTTATTACGAAGCCAATTTGAGTACTCAGCACCTAATACCTATTCTTCCTTAACAGTCAACGTTAAATAATCATTTATCATTGAAATTTTTATATCAAAATTCGCTCAGAAGTTTGGAATTATAATTTAAAAAAATCGATCAAAACAATTTTTCGATTTTCCTAATTAAAAAAACGAATTTTGGTGTATTTATTTACTTAGTGTCGATATTAAAATTTTACGCTTCGGAAAGAAATTGTTGAATACTTTTTTATAGATGACCACTCCGTATATCGTGGGTTTGAATCAAAAGGTGACCAAGTCCAAAATTGCCATATTTGTTTTTGATTGGCCAAGTAATGTAAAATATTTTTTTGCTTTCAAAAAGTCCGCCAAGGCCACACAAATAGATGAACTAAAAAACGTTTATAAGGCAAGTTTCCAAAATAATTCTGATATCATTTTCGGCTCGGAGAGTTCACGATATGTGATATTTTCGATGAAACAAACATAAGCCCTTGATGAGACTATTTGTCAGAACAATATAAATACATACAATTAATTATTTTTAACGTTGAATTACATTAATTATAGAAAGAATAGGTATTACTGAATAAGCATATATATATTATATGTATGCTTATTCAGTAATACCTATTCTTCCTATATGAGAATATATTTTAAAGAAGAAAAAAGCTTGCCTTCCAACCCTTACGAGCTATACGCTCGTATACCATTGGCGCTCTTTTTAATTAGCTGTGCGAACATAAACACTTATCAAACAGACATTTGTCAATGTTGGATAACATCAGATAATCATCAGAAACAAATCTGTTCTCGATTTAGGCAATCTTGTAGTTATTTATGTGCATCAGTTTACTTTAGATAACAGTGATATAACCCCGATAAACGTTAACGTTTTCTGCAAACATTCTACTAATGTTCAATCTGGGATTTTAAGCTATTCCATTCAGAGTAACAACTTCTAACTCTCAAACTTAACAGCTTTTCTACCCACTACCTCACCATTTTCGAATCAATTAGCTAAGAAATATGTCTTGTTTCAGGACAAAACGAGCAGTTACCTTATGAAGTTCTTCCAATAGTACCTCCACCTAGCAATAATGCTGACAAGCCAAAATCAGCTGCTGTTAAAAGAGTAAGAACTCAGTATACCTCGGAGCAACTGATGCAATTGGAAGGTGAATTTGATAAGGGCAATTACCTGAACCGGACCAGTCGGATTAGACTATCACAAGAGTTAAAGCTAACTGAAAAGCAAATAAAAGTTTGGTTTCAAAACCGCAGAATGAAAAACAAGAAAGAAAATTCAGCTCTAGGCGATCGTAACGTTTCCAGCAGTCATAGCTTCTATAGAGGTAATGGAGACAACAATCCGTCCGCGGAATATCCAAACGGATTTCAGGTTCCAAGCAATATGCAGTTATGCCAGCAATCGCCTTCCACAAATAATACCGCATGTTCGCCCAATTTAGCATTTCAAGAGTCCATTTCTACTTCCACACATGAATCTTTAAGCCCGTCCGATCTGAACATGCCCCAACCTATTAGAGAGACAGTACACCAACTAGATATTCCGACAATTCTGCTTGACGACAGCTTTAGTATTTTAACTCTCGTTCGAAGTCAAATTTGTGACAATCGAGAACAATCATGTTCTGATTCGTCACCGAATTCCAATGAACTTTTGACTTTGTAGAGTTTATATAGGGTGATTCACGATTGGCGTGATTCCTTTCAAGGGGTAATAGGGGCTCACTTGGTACTAGAAAAATATTGAAATTATTTTTCCATATTTTTTATCTCTCTTTCTTCCACGTTACAAAAGATAATTTCCTTCTGAAAAAGGTTAGGGATATGAATGTTTAATTCAATTTCTCAATAGCCGTTAAGGAGCAAGCCCTTATTCTGATATTGTTTTTTACACCGAATCTAAATGGGAGCAAGAAAAATTGTTATTTGCAAAGATTTCGTGGGTAAACCTTGGGATCAACGTTTGCCAGTAGGGTTGTTTGTTGTTTACGAAATATACGTTTGTGGTTTATCTAAATGTGCCTAAATTGACTAATGGGGTACAGTCTATTTAAATATAGAAAGTCAAATAACAGAACGCAAAGATGTGCCCGCAATTAGTACCAAATTTGGTGATGTTTTCGGTGACCTTCACTTGCCCAACAGGCGCAAATTAAGTAGTAGTCAACCAAATCCGGTTTGTTCATCCCATGCTGGTTAACTAAAATTCCAAGAATTCGGAAGAATTATGCAAATTCATTTGACTGAGGGCTGCCTCAAATTAAGTACCTGTAATTAAAACGGATGCAAACCCACGCAAAGAGATAGTGAACAATGAGTCATAAATCTATGGGTACATTAAGGGTTAGTTCGGAAGAACCATCATTTCCCGTGGTGTCTTTCGTGATATGCAACTTTCAGAAATAATTCTACAGGGTGGTTTAAAATTGGCGTCATTCCTTTTAAGAGGTAATAGAGGCTCACTTGGAACGTACGAGAAAAATATTGACATTTTTTTTTCCAATGGTCTACTGAACACTTGTATAAATTGAGCAGGATTTAATTAACACAGGCACTGGAGTTACAGACTCAAATGTAAGTTTTCGAATAGTTTCGAAATAGGTTGCGTCATTCAACGACTCCTGTTGAATTTACCGTTTATCCTTGTCTATCTTACTGTCACTTTCTCTATTTATCCATGGTCACCGGAGTTTTAAAACCTAAAAAAAATATCTCAGTTTCTAATAACAATAAATTTTCTTCGCAATTTTTTCTGTACTCCTAAGACATCGGCAGACAACACCTCCGAAGGAATGACTCAAATTTTGAATCACCTTGTATACTTAAAGGTTCTGTCCACTAAAATATTTTTTTGAATTAAAATAAGCTGAAGTTGTTATTAACAACAAATTTGTAATCACTTTTTTCAGATGTAGTAATTCATCTAGGGTTATTTATGATGAAGTGATTGTTAAAGAATTAGAAAGTAATAATTGTTCTGTTATGTATTGTATCTTGTTATGTACCGTTTTTATGTGTAATGCAATAATTTTTTTACAAATTCCTTCGAATGTTTCCAAAACCCGTTCACATAAGCATTAAATTGGCCATTCTACAACAATTTTTTTCACATTCCTGCTTATTAAAACCGCATTTGAACTCAAACAGAGGTTCCGAAGCAAAACAGTAAAAATGATTTGCAACTTAATAGTTTCCTACGACAATAAAATAACCAAGATTAAATTTAATAAAAGGCAATAAAATTACCCAGAACCACATGAGAGGTAGATCTACATTAAGAGAATCAACATATTATTTTTAAAATTAAACTGATGGGCAATATTTTCATTTTAAGTATCAAATTACCATGCATTAGAAGTTTTTGATGTGGCAGTTGATTTAGAAACTTTAAATTTTTGTTTTCGGCCATAACGAGTCGTGCCGAAACCACGTAAAATTTAGTTCTCTAGCTATACAGAGTGTACGATAACTATAACGTAACTTTCTTATTTTAAATGCTTACTTTAAAAAACTTGTTTTCTTCTTAAACAATTGACATACATCCAAAACTATAAGAGATGAGTTATCAAACCTACTCGAGTGGCTCAAACTCGCAATTAACGGTACACTGCAATAATCGACTAAGTCCAATTTTCACATAAAATGAGTTAGCAACACGTTAGTAGAGAGTTTGCATAGTCTACACAAATCACTCTTTATATAATTTTATTATGAAGGATAAACATCCAGTAACAGATAATAAGCTTCACTAATTTGAACAAGATTGTTTGTCATCAAAGAGCGGCTTATTGCACGTAATATATTTATACATGACTAAAGTAATTATTTGAGCAACTCGATACATTTGGAAACTTTCGTATTGATTGGCGATTAATAGTGAGGATTAATTCGTGGATGTTAGCTTTTATTTATTGTCTTATGCTATTTCATAATGTTAAACAATCGTCTTAATAAGGATCAGAAGTGATAATTCCGTAGCAGCAACATAACAATTGATCAACTAATCAATCATTTATACCCGAGATGTCAATATGTGGATGCAAAATTAATTCGTCACTTGATTTATTTAATTATTGTAAATAATACAATTCAAAAGTGTTAGTAAAACAACCTAGAAAGTTGGGCGTTATTCAACTGATAATAAAATAATACAATAAGATAAAAACACAGCCACCGCACATTAACATTTTATGTATTTATTCTAATATCTGATTTCGTCGGAATACATAACTCACTTATGAATAAATAAAACACTGATAATACAAATAATATTTAATAGTACACAATTCTTGAATGGAAATTAACCGATTAGCTGCCTTTAAATGTAGTACAATATACGATAATAAAGAATAAGCACATTTACAATCTACCTTTTTTCTCCAACTTATAGCTTTAACCTTATAAGCTTACATAACTTGCCTTTTATGTACCTATCTGCATTTGCTTATTCCTGTTGTCCATTTGCGCCTCGGTCATTTACAAGTTTTTAAAAAACTTTCTGTCTTATAGTCATAGGTATATAATTATATTATTTATTTTATAATGTGTTTTAATTTTGTTATATTTATGTAGATAAACATATATTTACAAATTTACAAAGTGTGTAGATAAATTTACATGTAGGTGATGTAAAAATCATAAAATCTCAAAATATATGTTTCAACTCCAAAAATGTAATTTTGTCTGAATCTTTTTTCCAAGGGTCCTTTTTACTAATAAAAACCTATAAGCTAATATTTAATATGTATACAGGGTGTCACATAAAACACAAGAACAAAGTCGTAAGAATTATGTTCGAATGCGATTCAGAATCCCCAATAGAAGCAGTGGCGTGCGGTGAAATTTGAAAGAAGGGAATTAATTTTTGAATACACTACCAACCATTAAAGAAAAAAAGTATTTTTTGGATTTCAACATTAAAGATTTTTCTCTCCATCTTTTTCATTTTTAAGGTGATGTCAAACATAGTATATTATGGGTACGCGAGACGAAAATCGAAGTTCCGCCGCTGCTTGAAGGTGACCGCTTGAAGTCATGCAC